AAATAATCCTTAATACGATTAATATATTTGGTAAAGCTTTATTTAACCTATTAATATTACTATAGACTAAAATTTTCAATGGAATTATTCAATTAGTTGATCTTGGGAATTAATATAGCATTCTATCATATCCAGATCTGTATTGATAATATTTTTATAGCTGGCTTAGCTCATTCATCACTTCTGATATATTAAATATAGATCCAAAATAATTATTAAAGTGCTTTAACTGGTGAAAACGTTTCTACAACAAATTTATCGCAAGATCTAGTAATACATCGAAATTCAATCTCATTTTTTGAAGATCATGTATAGGCGAGCGATCTTTTTTGAAATAAAATTGTTATAGAACTTTCTGTCTACGAATTAATGTTATTGAAGAAAAGCATGCTCTTATAAACTCATTTCCAATTATTGGGAAAGCTCTTTTGTTGAGCCAAGCAAATCTTTCTTCGCAGCATTTGGGATCAAAGGGTCTTGAACTAGCATATTATATAATAAGTAATTGAATCTAAATCTTAATTAAAATAATAACTCAACCAAGATTAAAGTGAGTGCACCCACCTATAAGGTATATTATTAAGCGAAGACCACAGTGCAAACTTTTTTATTTTAAAATAGACTAATCAAAATATCTAAAAATGCTTCTTAGCTTTCACAGCTACAAAAAAATGACATTTATGAGAAATTAGACCAAATATCATAACAGTTAATAGAAATTGTTTTTTTTTTAAATAAATTTATTACATGTTTTTACTCACCGATTATCTTGTTTCTTTGACTGAAAATTTATTTAAATTGTTTTTACAGATTATTTATAAATAGAAAAAAACGAAAATTTAAATAAAAAAATTAAATTTCTTAATTATAATAAAAATAAAGTATTTTAAACTAAAATATAAAATATTTATAGTACATATGACTAGACATGCCAAACCTTTTTTCAAAATTATACAGACTTTTTACAAAAATAAGAATAATGTAAGTAGTATATACAAAAAAAAATTTCAAATTTGTAACGAGGCTAAAAATAATTGAATAAAATTATTAAATTTGGCGTTCCCGAAAATTATGATTTTGGTGACACCTCTCCCGTTTGCACCATCCTGGAGAGAATAGATGGGAGAAAGGTGTTATTAAGTAAAAAGAGTTTTTGTTAACTTTTTCTTATTTCCATATATTCATATTATACTTTTATATTTAGATTAAATTATTTTAAATGAACCATATTATTTTATGGTAAATTTATTTTATTTTCTTAAGTTTATTATTTTTGAATATTTCTCATCATATAAAAATTAATTTTAAATTACCAGGTATAGATAATAGGTTAAATGTGATAAATATGGTTATAATATTTTTTTATCGTCACAATAATTCTTTATCGTTTACTATAGGTCATTAAAAGCCACGAATAATAGATAAAGACAAAAAAAGTGTATAATCGTTTAAAAGAGATCGTTATACAAGAAAATATTAATAAAAAGAAGCAACTAAAGTTTGAGATGAAACATAAGGCAGCAATCAAGGGTTTAGAAACAAACTGAAGACACTAGGATAATTAGTTATTACTTTTTAAGAGAATATTGGAAGAAGCTAAAGTTAGAAAGGAGACTAGAATCAATATGTAATCCTGTATGAGCAGTTGTTAATAAAAAAAAGAATTTATAGACAAGAATAGCCATCGTTAATAGATGCAAAGGATTAACAAAGAGGTGATCAAATAATAAATAAAAAGACATTCAAAAATAAAAGCATGATTGGAAAAGGACAATTTTTGAATAATGTGTTTTTAAATTAAGGAGTAGTGTGTTGTAATATATAATTTGCATATTCAGTTAGATTACTATAATTTATATTGTAGTTCATTTCTATATTTTATGATGCAATTTAAATGCTTATTAGTAGTCAAATTATAATTTATTCATATACGGGTTAATTCTTTTGGTTATATTAGGAATGATTATTTTGGTGCGAAAGTTTTTATTAACTATTTATTTTCCTATAATTCTATATTTCATTTTTATCTTAGAGAATTTTTTATTATTATTTACAACTTCTGATTTTATATACGTTTTATAGTATATTTTTTATAAAATAAAAATTTTAAACAATTGCTTATTGTATTAATTAGCAAACCAAAACTCTCTAAATGATAAAATCATATCAAATAAGAAAAATTTAATAAAAAATACAAATATTTTTAAAAAAAAGTTCTTAAAAAACTTTTCATTTTTATAGAATATTGCAAAAATAAAGAATCTCAAAAACTTAAATAACTCCTCTAGAAAATTAATATAAAATAAAATGTACAAAAAAATTTAGTAAAAATTATTAAAAATAAATATTAAGGCAAATTTATAGATTAATCTGTCCGACCATAGTCATACCCATTACTGTTTAACACGGTGCATATATACACCACCTCCTATATATCTTTTTAAACATAGTAGTTTTTATTTTAAAAAATAATAAAAAAGGTTTTTAGATAGTTTAGGCATTGTACCTCAAAACTGGAAAAGAAAAATATGAAAAAAATCTTTTTAATGTCCCTAAGAAGCCCTCAAACATGGCGAATTTATAGAGTCTAAAATGCAAAGTCTTCTAAGTGATCTCACGAGCCGAGCATATTATGAAATTATTTCGATGAAAACTAGTTTATATATTTTATATATAGATATATCAATATTTATCAATCATATTTGAAATTTTAAATAATTAGAATTTAATTGGTAACCATATAAAGTTGACTGGTGCATATATGCACGGTTAACCATCTAGCAGAATAAATTATTTTCAAAAATTCAAACAAATAAAATTTAACATAATGAATTATAATCGAGCCCCCTAAAAGTTTGAAAAAAAATTTTATACCCAAAAAAATATCTTTTGAAAATATTTTTGAGGTCCCTGAGAATCGAATAATATGTTTCTTTTATAATTTTTTATCTCGACTTAATTATATGAAATTATTCGCAAATATTCGGTTCATAAATATTCGAAAATTAAAATTATTCATAAAAATTTTAAATTATTTGTACCCTCTTCCTTGCTGAACATTTTTTTTTCTTATGCACCTGTTTTGTCAATTCAATTAAAATTATCAAAATAATAGATGACTAATTAAAAAAATCAAGATTTTATTAAATGAATATTTAATTTTTAATTAAAATTTTTAAATGAATCGTTACTAATATTCTACAATCCCTTTCAATGGGGAAAATGAAGATATAATAAAACTTGAAGATAATTTGCATGGTAAAAATCCATCAGATATATTTTTTAATTTTCGGCGAAGACTTTAATTCCCTAATTGTAGATCAAAGTAATATTTATTCAAAACAAATGAATAGGTCTAATAATGTATAACCATCCCAGATATTAAGAGATTTATTGGAATTCTATTATTTACTGGATATCATTCGTTTCCACAGTAAAAGTATTGTCTTATAATAGTGATATTTCTATTCCAATAATCCGGAATACAATGACCCAATTAAAATTACTAAATTTGAAATATAATATTCATTTGACAGACAATACTAAAAACATATACATGATAGATTTTATAAAGTTAGGTCTTACAAAACCAAATTATCATAAAATATATTTTGATAATTTATACATCAATTAAACTTTTGTCATACACAAATGGGATATTTTACAAAATAGAATGAAGCATTGCGCTTATAAGAAACACATGGGTGGAGTTGAACTGTGTGATAATCTCATATCTACTATAGAATAAAAAGAGGGAAAAAAGGCGGTGGCCAATATTCACCAATTTTATCAATGTAGCTTTGGTAAATTCGTGGAAAATTTGGAAATTCATGAATCGAGATGAGAAGAAGAGATTGCTTGCATTTAGGCGATAAGTTACTACTTCCTTTGAACACCAATAAAAATTTTAATAAATTTAAGTACAGTGCACCAAGCCAGTTTGCATTACAGAGGAAAACCCTTCTGATTCATCTGGAAATTATTTATCCAAAATTATAGATGGAAAAAGACGTAGATGCAGATATTGACATACGCACTCAAAATATATGTGCCAAACATGTCAAACACTTCATACTAAATGTTTCAAGGATTTTCATAATATATAAACATTTTCTCGTTTTTAATATAAATTACAAAAAAGTATTGTACATAATTTTTATCTTTTTTAACTCTTAATGGTTAACGGTGCAGATATGCACCAGGCAAGATGTTCTATTTAGGATTATTTTTTTTGCCTGATTTTTTAGAATATCATATTTAAGTATTAATCAATATAATTTGAAAATAATGAGCATTTTTACCGACTAGAAAAATCTTGCCCATTAATGGTTAAGAAATTGATTCTCGAAAAAAACCATCTGTCAACTGGTTCGATTTGGTTTATAAAACAGGATTGTTGACCATCACTAGTAATTTTTTAGTATATATCCAGACATTAGTAAGAGATTTATACATCCAAGTTTTGTATATATATATATATTATATATGTACCTTTTTGAGTCATATGTCATATTTTTATTTTTAAAAGATTTTCATTATTTTTGCTGATAAAAATTATGAGACATTCTTTAAATATCATCATATACAAAATTATCGGATTTTACAAGCAATTGTATGAATATGGTTTTTATTTCAAGGTTTTTAGATTAATTAGTTAATACTTACCACCTATCTAAATTTACATAGTTTTTGATAGTATTTATTTTGACTTTAAATATATTTATTTATCGAGTTTGTGAAAGGGGTAATATTATATATAAAAAGACATTTAGCTGGTACCTATATTTATATATTTTGTTATATATAAATCTTTTGATGATTGCAATAGTTAAAAGGAAATATAAATAAGAAAGGAGGGGAATGGGGGGGGGGGGTTGTTGAGATGAATCTAAGGAATAATAGTTATTTTTTCTTATTTTATCGTAAGCTTTACTCTATATTTTGCTCTTAAGATTATACATTATATTTGTAATAAAAATTTATTGTAATTAAAATTTTACTTGACTGCAACCACCGTTGTCAACATGGCAAATATCATATAAACATACTGATGAATTTTTAATACTTATATAATTGGGAGCACAATAACATTCCGATTCGTTATTATCATATCTGCAACAAGAATGTGAGTTTCCTGAGAGAAAATAAGGTAATGAACATCTACATGTGGCAATTGGTTCATATTCATTTCTAAATATTAAATAACATTGATCAGCACATCCCCCATTATTTATTAAACAAGGATTATTTATACAAAGTCTTTGGTCTTTTGATAATATTGAAGTTTTGTTACATAGACATTTTTGGAAATTTAAGGAACAACAAGAGTATCCGTCACCATGTAAAAACCATTTAATATCACTATTCGGACTATTAAGATTTTTGCAAGAACATTGTTTAACTCCTTTGTATATAAAACATATACCAACACATCCCCCATTGTTTATTAAACATTCATCATTTTTATGACAATTTTTGCCATCCGATAATAAAATATATCCTGGATGACAAAAACATGGCGTCATCATTTTTATACCCTCATTAAAATAAAATGAATGACATATATGTTGACATCCGGCATTGTTATGATAGCAATGATCTTGATAACAGTTTTGACCATCTTTTCCTAGAAACATTCCATTGGGGCATTTGCAAATTTTTGAACAAACTTTATTTTCATTTATTACTTGACATTCATGGCTACATTTATTTTTTTCTAATGAACATAAATCTGGACAACAAATTTCTGGGTTATTTAAACAATTACAATCATTTGAATTTTCTTCACAACACGAATATTGGTTGGAAGATAAAAAAAATCCCCTTCTGCATGAGCAAATCTTTTTAAGTGAAGATGAAATTAATTTCAAGCCACAGTAATGGTCACAATTATGCCCTTCAATATTGCATAAATCTGGTACACATACATAACCATTCTCAGTAAAAATTTTAATATGTGCAATAGAGCAATTGCATTTGGGTAAATTGTCAATAAGATCTATGGAACAACAAGAACTAATAGTGAATGTTTTTTTAAATATATCATATGAAGGCAATGCAAACACATTCTTATTGTTTACTTTACAATTGCATATTGTTTCATCCAAATCTATTTGACAATCTGAGCACTTTTGACTTTCAGGACATGTTTCACAAATCTTTTTATTCAATTTATTTAAGATTTTTTTTAAAGGACAAATACAATATTGTCTTAGAAGATCAAAATCATAGTAACAAAAATCGCTACAACCACCATTATTGATTTTACATGGGTTTACAATATAAGAATTAATTTGTGATTTGAAATAGGTAATAGGATATTTACAAATTGTTGAATTACAACAAAGCTTTTCATTAATTAATAAAGCGGTATTATTATAGCAATAACATTTAGGAAGACCATTATTCATTTTACATAAATCCGAACAATTTCCATTATTAATAGAACAATCATCTTTTTCGCAAGTTTTACTATTTTGCGACAAAATCATTCCTTTTGGACATAAACATATAATGTTTCCATATTTATTTATACTGCATCGATACTGGCAACTTTTACAATTAGAGTTACATATTGTTTCAAAAAATGGTTTTGACATCGAACAAAAACAATTATTAATATAAACATCATCACAACAAATATTGTTCTTATATAAAAATCCTGACCGCGGGCAATAGCAACGAAAATTTTCCTCTAAAGGCAAGCATAATGAATTTTTACAAGGATTATTAGAGCATGGATTTATTACACATGATTTTTGATCAGATTTTAAAATGTATCCATCACCACATAAACAATAAGGTTTTCCATCATCATCTAATATACATTTATATTGACATTTTAATAATGGGCATTGATCCTCTATACAAAAATTAGGTGATCGATATCGCTCAATCAATGTATTTTTATATTTGCATGTTATTTTATCATTTGAACATTCAATATTACAGCACTTTGGTTTGATTTCACATTGACTTTGCCAACATGAATTTCTACTTTTTATATAAACATCATCAATCATATCTAATTTAGAACAATTACAATAGTTTATATTATTACTATCTTTTTTTAAACATTGCAAACCACAATCACCACATTCTATAAAAAAATATTAAAAATGAAATTTGCATTTGCTACCTGTGTTATCGGAAGAGAAGAAATAATTTTTTCCCATGATAAAGACATCAAAAAGATTTTGAGAAATTTTACTAGTGGATTCAAAAGATAACACTATATACTTTGCTATGATAATTTTCTGGCATGTTATTAATATAAAATTTCCACTATAAACATTTGACTCACCACATAATTCAGGACTTTCAAGAGAACCAAAGGGTCTTAAACTGCCTTGGACTGCAAGTTTATATTGTAGCACTAAAATAAAATAAATATATATTTTTCTTTATATTAGTAAACCATAATCTTTTAAGGTTTGGTATTTTTGTTCTTCTGAAAAAAATTTGTGAATTAAATTAATACACACCTTATTTTTATTATAAATTTTAAATAAACTTTATATTGTTTTTTTAAAATAATTAGTTTGAAGCAGATGATAAAAAATTATAACTTCACTTATATGAGATAAAATGAATTTTGAATTCAAATATTTTTATTTTTATGATAAAAAATTATAAAATTAAAGTATATCAAAATGTATCTTAAAAGTATCTAAAAACAGATAGATATACCTTTATGATAGTATTTAGATACAGATTCGATACTTTTAAAAGTATATATAGATACAGATGAGGCATATTTGCATTAAAAACTCTGTAATTTTGTAAAAAAAACACAATTTTTAGTTACTTTCGAATTTGATAAAATGTGCAAAGACATTATAATTAGTGGCATGCATTTTTTTAAATATAACGATCGAATTAATTTGTTACTTTTCAAGTTTATCAAACATATTTAATTTATTTTTGTTATATGATATCCCAAATTAAAAATTACAATCAATTATATACAATACTCTTTCATTTATTTTTGTATATCTAGAAAAGATATGAAACATCGAGCGTTGCCAAATTTATAAAAAAAGAAGTATATTAGGTCAAAAAAAAATTAGTCACAATTCAAAGAAATTGATAAAAGAAAATAAAAATAATAATAATAATAACAATCCAAAAAATCGATAACAGAAATAAAAATAATAATATCTCCCTAAGATTTCATAACATCTCCCTTTTTTAAAAAGATTTTCTAATTTGATCCTTATGTCTCTTCCACTGCCCTTAGCACTATCCACAGTATATATGAACTTCCCCGATCGGCCCACTATAGTCCCCTTGATCCACTTTACTTTGTCACTATTCGTCCTTAATGATTGTCCTATCTTGAAAAATGTAACTCTTTGATCTGCGTGCGTATCGTCTTGTTTGCTCTCATGGGTTTCTTTAATCATTTTAAGATAATTCCAAGCATTCCGTCTAAACATCATCAGTGCTAGGGTTTGTCCCGTAGTCGTATGCTGGGTGTTTTTATAAACTAATAAGAATTCATTTAAATTATTGTACTTGTTATTGGTTGCATTTTTCTCCATGGCAGTTTTAACTGTTCTCACCATCCGTTCCGCCCCTCCGTTGGAGCTCGGGTGGTAAGGAGGGGTCAGTATGTGGTTTATTCTATGTCTCTTGCAATATTCTTTGAATGAATAACTAGTAAATTGCGGTCCGTTATCCGATACTAACAATTCCGGATATCCCCATCTAGAAAATATTTCACTTAATACCCCCATGGTTCTTCTGATGTGGTGGTCGTCATTCCTTTTACTTCAACCCATTTGGTAAAAGCGTCTACCAATATTAGCCACATGGTGTTTTTGAACGGTCCTGCGAAATCTATATGAACTCTTTGCTACGGTCTTGTCGGTTTCTCCCAATGGTGATCTTGTACTTTTGGAGGATTGTTTGCCCATGTATTACACAATTCGCATTGACAGCATAGTTCTTCTATTTCACGGTCGATTCCGGGCCACCATACATATTGCCTGGCTAAGCTTTTCGTTCTGACGATTTTTTGATGACCACTATGTAATTCGTTTAGTATTTTTTTTCCGCTATTCTGTTGGAATGATTATTTTTTTCCTTTTATATAAACCTTCTTTTCCCCATAAATTGTTTTTGCACATTTCATATTGTTTTAGTATATTGTCATCTTTTACCTTGAATTGAGTTTTTATACTTTCCTTTACCTTTTTTATCGTATCGTCGTTTTCTAGTTTTTCTCGAATTTTATCTGCTGATATCGGATACTCGTTTATAAAATATATACAAGTGGTTTATGCTCGGTCCATATTGTAAAAGTTTGACCTACTAAATATTCATAAAATTTCTTTACTCCGAATACGAGCCCTAATGCTTCCCTTTCGATAGTTGAGTAGTTTTTTTCTGCCATTGATAGTGTCCGTGAAGCAAAACCTATGGGATTCTCGGATCCATCTTTTTCGGTATGAGATAGTACGGCTCCTACATCTTTCATAGATGCATCCGTAGTGAGTTGGATCTCTTTATCTGGATCAAAATGAACGATTATTGGAAGATTGGTCAAGCATTTCTTTAAAATTTCCATACTTGATCTGCATTCTTCCGTCCATAGGAAAGTGTTATTTTTTAATAAATCATAGAGGGGTGCCGCAATCGTTGAAATTTTTTTATGAATCGATGGTAATAATTCATGAGGCCTAATAACGACTGCAATTCATTAACTGACTCCGGAGTTGGAGCATACTTTATGGCTTCTAGCTTCTCCTCTGAGGGCATAAGACCTCTACTGGATATGACGTGACCTAGATATTTTACTTTTTCTTTAAGAAATTTATTCATAATTCTATAAGACCGAATTCCGCTAATCGTTGGAATACCTTTTCTAGATTATTTAGATGCTCTTCATCCGAAGAACCTGTGATTATTAGATCGTCAATATAGTATGCTACTCCCGTCATTTTCCCGAAAATTAGATCCACAGTCCTTTGGAATATTGCTGACGCCGGAGTTATTTGGAATTACTTTGAATTGAAACAGACCTTTATGAGTGTTAATAGCTAAATACTTCCTCGAATCAGAATCTATAACTATTTGGTGGTATGCATTTGAAAAGTCAATGGTTGAAAACTTTTCCCCTTTTCTTAATTTATTAAATATTTCCTGTATTCTAGGGATAGGGTTATCCGCTATCATCCATGGATTTATAGTTATTTTGTAGTCTACGCAAAGCCTTATTCTCCCGTTGGGCTTAATTATGGGCACCAGAGGACTGGCCCATTCCGAATACTTTATAGGTTCTATTACGTTGTTTTCGATCCATTTTGTTAGTTCCTCATCAACCTTTTCTTCTAAAGCATATGCAATTTTCTAGGGGCGCAAAATTTTGGGGTCGCATTGTCTTTTATATTCAGATGGACTTCCATATTGTTCAATTTTCCTAACTTTTTATCGAATACTGTTATGCATTTTTCCGTTACCGCTTTCAATTCTTGTCCCATGTAATATATATTATTTTATTATTATCGTGTGCATCTTCGGTCCCTCCTAATATTTCTTTCCATATCAATTCTCTAAATTCCTTCAGCCAGTTAATGCCTACCAATGATGGTCCATCAGATTTCACTATAACCAAAGGTAGATTTTTTATGATATCTTTTATTTGAACTTTCACGTCCACGCTACCAATAATGGCTATTTCGTTACCTTCGTACGCCCTTAATTTTGTGCCTGAATCATGAATCATTTAATCGGAGTTGATTGTATTCCAAGTCTTTAACGAAATAATTGATACTGATGCTCCTGTATCTAGGATCCTGTTAATTTCCTTACCCTCTATACTTAGATTGACTTTGAATTTTTCTTTACAAGATTTGTTATCCATCGAGTATATATACGATCGCAAGATTTAATCAGATGTTTGTCACTACCGCATTTGAAGCAAGTTTTTTTTGTCTGGAAATATTGATTGTCATTGTATTTATAGTTATTATTGTTAGTGCTGTACTTTCCCCTTATCTTATCAGAATATTGATTGTTTTTATGATAATATTCATTGTTATCGTACCAATTATTAGTATTTGTTATCATTATTATTATAATTGTACTGCGGGTTATCATTATTATGCCTTCCATTCTTCGAGGTTATAATAATTATATCTAATAAATCTAATCATGTCTGGTAAGGATAATTGTCCCTATATCGTTCCTGGCTATTATTATTACTATTGCGCTTTTGATTGTCTTGTATATAATTTATTTTATTACTTTCTATTTTATCTTCGCCTCGATCCTTTCCATCTTGACAATAAAATATATCTTTCGCTTTTTCTTTTTCCTCTATCAAATCCATAGTTCGGAGGTGTTTTTCGATTTACTCTACTCCCATGTCCTCTAATAATAACTTTATTTTGATCTCTTTACTCTCCAATCCGTTGATTATCTGCATTTTTAGATCTTGTTCATATTTCTCTTTGAAGTTGCATTTCAATGCTAAAGCCTTTAACGAATTTAAAAATTCCAAATTAGTTTCTTCCTCTCTTTGGGTACGTTTAACAAATTGGAAACTTTCCAATGGTGCTATTTTTTTTTCGTTAGCTATCAAAGAATCTAACATATCGTCATATTTAATTTTATTAATAGATTTGGGAGCGAATTTTAAAATTACTTTATAGTCGTAGGTGGACAATGCAGATACGAGTGCTGTCTTTTTTTTCTCGTTGTCAGATATATCGTTTAATATGAAATATGCCTCTAATTTAATACGAAATGGACACCGTTATCCTTAATGGGAATCGATGGTGTCATCTTAGATACTTTTATATCGAATTTTAGTTATTTCCTCTGTTCGTCGCCCGTGTCGTTGCCAGTGTTAGATTCCTTATTTGTTGAATTTCTAAGTCGCCGAATTTCTAAGTCGAGATTTACGTAATCTTAAATAATGTTAGATTTCCTTAATGCTGAATGGATTTTCTTTTTTCAATTTTTATTATTTTTCATACAACTTTTTTATTTTCATTTTCTAAGTAAAAAACAAAGAAAAAATCATTTTCAAAAAATACAAATTCCAAGAATTGGTCAAAAAAAATTAGTCACATTTCAAGAAAATCAATAAAAGAAAATAAAAATAATAAGAATCCAAAAATCGATAAAAGAAATAAAAATAATAATATCTCCCTAAGATTTTATAACAATAAATAATATGGCCTGTTTACTATTTGGAATTTTATCGTGTCTTTATATGTATTTTTTTTTTAAATTAATGCTTTTATTTCTCTCAATAAAGCATTATTTTGTTACAATAGAGGAAATAATTTTCATGAAACTGTTACCAAATCTGTGCTTTATCAAACTAGGCTGATTGAAGAAGAAAGATCTCAAATGAGTGTAATATATTTAAATCGCCATGATAAAGGATGGTTTCAAAATGCATTTAATGAATTATTAAAATTCTATAAATTATTCTATATGATTGCATCATTGACGCAACATATATCTATAAGATATATAATATGCAATCAAGAAGGATTGGCTATTATTATAAAGTATATTTGCATGTTTGCAACTTAATTTCCTCATAATTTTTTGGTTATTTAGTCGATTATAAAAAGCCGGATAATAACACAGCCTTATAACTTAATATATTTTCGTTTTCTTGGCAAAATCCCTTTCTGATATTTATTTATCATAATATCCAAAATTAAATAAAAGACCATTTATTTATATTTTGGTCAAAAAAATTAGCAGAATGGTTTAATTCTTTTATATTTAATTTTAGATAATATAAATTCCAAATTTATTTGGGCCAGTAATTAATAAAGAAAATAAGAATTATTTCTTCTGTTGATATTTCCTAATTAGCGAATGTTAATAAAATGATTGCCGGGTAGGTCATTTTTACTATTTAGTTTTAATTTCGGATTTCTACCTTGTAGAACTCAGGGCATCAATATTTTTAAATTTTATGTTAATCAATAAATTTTTTATGATGAATAAATAAAGAACTTTGGTTATGCTGATTGAAGAGAGAGACCAAGACAAAGTTGAGCTTATGTGCATAGTAGCACACATAAGTCATTTTGTTAATATTTCTGAATCTTTTCTGCACTTCTGAAAGATACCCTTTCATAACACTTATCATATGCTCAAGTAACACAAATAGCATTTATAGAATTGTTAGTTATATTATTTATTTTTATATTGATCAATGATATTGCATCAATGTAATTAATTTTTTAGAAAAAAGTAAAAGATTCCTTTGGTATTTTTGTTTCATCTACATATCCAACAAATACATTAAACTACTCTATGAGCTTTATTTTTAATTTAAGTGTGTCATAATGTGCATTTTCTATTGCTTACGTTATTTAATTATCTAATAATGTCAGATTTTTTTCTCTTTACATTTCTTAAATTTAAAAAATAATTTAATAACCTACTATATTTTAAGCATATTTTGTGGTTTATTAAGAGTTGAAATTCTCGTTGAGGCATTTTTAATTTAGTTTTTTAGTTGATTAGATATTTGAAAAATTTAATACACGGTTCACATACAAATTAAAATATTAAATTGAATTTTATTTTATTTTATTTTAATCATAAATTATTATGTTTATTTTATTTAATTAGGATTTATAATATAAGCTTTCTAAAGAAATATTAAATCGATAAAATTTATAAAAAGATGTCAAATTAAAATAATCTCATGGGAGGCAATTTTTTAGGAGGTTCTAACCTGCTCTTCTCCTAATGATGC